ACTGCACCGTTTTAAAGAAATAAAATATAACTTGAGATATTCGTGCTGTCGGCGCGAATATTTTAATTTTGAAAATATTTGACGTTACTAAATTTAAATCAGGGTATTTTCACTATCAAAAGTTTAGGCTCATAAGTGAAAAAAAATCGCAAATAATGCAGGAAAGAACATTTGCAAAGTGAAAAGTACCTTTGTAGAAGTACAAATAAGACTCCAACTATCGTTCAAGTTTCTTACGTCTAAATTTACTATAATGCGTTAAGAGTAGATATTCAAGTATTTCCAATTTCATGCACTTTTGTCTAAGACTGTACGTCCAATACATCCTTAATTTAAACAAGCTTTGTTTCTTCACTTTTCATACATTACACAAATAATTTCTAGCCGGTAACTGAGAAACTGCCTGCGTGTAAGACACCTTCACGCGTGTTTGTACTTAGAATTTTTGACTCTAATCAATTTCCGGAATATGTGCTATTGAAATATCGCATGGCGGCTATCGGAGATTCTGATATATCTGGTAACGCGGCACAACATTTATTGTGTCGATACAGCGACATCGTAGCTGTGTAAATAGAGCTTGTTCTTTAAACATACGTTTTACAATAACCCTTCTTTCCCGTCAACGTTCTGCTAAGTTAACGACAAATTCATGAGACGAAAGTTACAAAATTTCGTAAAATCCGTGCGAATATACCAATGCGCCATAACCAGCATCGTTTTGAATCCGAGAGGAAGCACATTAACCTAAGCCTACATTACTTGGAGCAAGTCACAGTGTCTCTAGGTCAGCGGGGCGCGAGTCACATTCCTTACGTAAATGCTGCAAATTCTTCTTCGCCAGTAGGTTAATTTATGGATCTATTATTAGCCTTTATTTGTCAACAATCGCAATCGATTTGTGGGCGAAAAATGTTCCTTGCAAAAAATGCTTTCATTACTTGTGAGACAATTTATAGCTTTTTATAGATTTGTCAAGTGTAAATTGTACGGTATTACGAGTGCAAACATATTAAATGTTTAAATACTATCTCTTGACTATTGGTCTAATAAATAATTTTTATGACGTAATATAATTTATTCAAGCTGACCATAGCTGGGACTAATAAGTTTACAATTAATATAGCAATTAATCGCTCTACTAGACGTTCGACTTCTTCGCAGTTTTTATTATAAAGAAGTTTGCTCTTTATGTACAGTAGGTATATAATTGTATTATATTGTATACATGTAATTTTAAATAAAATTACTAGTTTAATATTATTAAACTATATGTATATATTATATAATAGATAAAATAATTTTTCAACAAGTAATAATTATTTATTGTAAACAGTATGAGTGTATGTTTACCATAACAATCTTTTTATACATATAATTATAAACAATTATAATAACTTAGAATAACATATAATAGTTATAATATGCACCAGTTCTTTATAATTTTATATAGACAACATTTCTGGGCTGCATGCCAATTTTGATAAATTCTTAACAATACAAATTTTTTGTATATTGTACAACAATATATACACGTACATATATAGTATATATGTATCATATACTTATTTTTCTAATACATTTAGCATTTGTTAATATAACAAAAATCCGTATCTAACGTTTTTGAGTCTAATTTTTCGCCATACATTTTTGCCTCTAAAATTGTTAGTCGATTTTTGTGAACGACAGCCAAACAGCGTCTCTTTTCTAAATTTGTGTATTTTCTTACTTTAAAGTTGTATAACTTATCGACTTTCATTTGTATCATATTTCGATGCACGAAACCCTCGATACCTTGAAAACAATTTTGCAAAATTTAACGGCCATATTATATTGTAATTACATAATTATTACCCTTTCTCTCTCGGCTCTTTCATTTTCTGTTAATTCTATAATATATATGTAAATTTACCTGTATACTCATAAACTTGAATAATATCATCGTTTTCTACGAAAACAAGCAGCGTTTCGACAGATCCACCAAGATCTAGAATCAAGAATGATTTGGGCCGACGTGCTTTTATAGTCTGCAAGATCCTGGTTTGTGAAATGTCACTTTTGTACAGCTAGATAACATAATATGGTTAACACATTAAATGCGATCGTATAAACTCACTACGCGTAGATTTGTGGAAAGAAAACATTTTTTGCAATATTATTTTTTACAATAAGTAACAGTTATCGAATAGTAAAACCAGCTACATAATAATAAGACGTAAATGGAAATTCTTTTCAACTCACATATATATAATCTTGGCTGACTCTTTCGTCGTAGTGGATGTACTCTTCTCTTCCATAAATACCTACTTTGACAGTAAATAGGATACCACAATCGAGACAATTGTTTACATAAGTGCTATTTAAAGACCTTTCTTCCAATTTATAAGTTAACGATTGGTTGGCTAGGACAATGAGATCGCTGCTTGAAACAGAATTTAATTTTTCATTCCTGTACGAGACGATATCTTTTAATATATCCGGATTTACATTGTCAGACGCAGATTCGAACTTCTCTCGTATTATTGTTTCAAATTCATCTCGATGCAAATTCATGTCTGTGACATTACCAAGTTCTAGCACATGCTGTGAGAGAAAAGAAGAAAACAATAGAACAAAATTAGTTGAGCTTGTCCTTAAGCAACAGCTATTTATTGTCAGTTTCTTTATCTTCGTTTAATTGAGACAAACGAAACTTGAAACGTTTCAACGCGCGTTACTTTCATTTTGTGTACGTGCGTATGCATTGCAATAAACGTACCATCAATCTATTATCTTCCAGCTTCCATATATTGTTAAGGCTTCTACCGCAGGCGTGTTTTGCGATGGTAAGCAGATATAAAACTCGATTCGATTTGAAAAACATCCATTGGTCAATTAATCCAAAATCAAATACTTCATCGATCACTTGAAAATCAGTTTGAGTATACGACAGAAGTTTTATATGGCAAATATTATAATTCACTAGCATATAATCCACATCGTTTACTTCCACATTACGGATATCGTGAATATCGCCTTCGAATTCCTGAATTTTTAAATAATCAAATGCATTGAATTTATATATCTGATTCATTGTATTGCATTTGAGTATATCTAAGTGAGCTGCGCATATGTTATTCAAATCCTCCTGCGAAAGATCAAATTGTATGTGAAAACCATTTGCGTGTGAGAACAGTGATTTCTTGTAGACAAGAATTAATTGCGAGAGAATCGATATTTCTTTATTTTATTAAGTAGTGCAGTTTTCTTACGTATGTGTCCTCAATAACCTGATCGATTTCAGGATATTCCTTTGTTAGAGCCAATGATATGTCGGTGACATTAACTTGATTCAAAAACTCACTTCCATCAACGTTCTCTTTAAAATGGACATTCCCATGTACCCTCCACTTCCCGGATACAATCTGTTTTGCTTCACCTGTTGTTCTTATTGCTTTTTCTTGCCAATTAATTGAGTCTATTACACCGTTCAAAAGACCCGAAGTTCTAAGACTTTTATCGAGAACAATTGGAGTTTTGGACATAAAGTTTCCTATGCAAACGTCGTGCGAGTGTATTAATTAATAAACATTCTGATTAACAGCGCATATACTAGACATACTTAGATAGCACGTGGAAATCTTATAGTATACATATATCTCTTGTTTCAAACTCGTTCTATTTCATTTATATAGTTTTCGTTAACTTCTTACCAGTTACAGTATCGTTTGTAGTTAAAGAAATAATTTTTGTAGGGTTAAAATTATTGATAAGATGAGCGTTAAAGTCATGGTGTGCATAAATGTTTCCTCCTATCTTTATGTGTCCTGTAATATTCTGATTACCATATATCTACAAGAGAAATCAAGTTAACAACTGCTATCATGATTAACTTACAACCTTATGTTGCGGTATTAATTTTGAAATTATGCATTAGAATAAATGAAATGGGAAATCGCGGCATACAGCGTGAAGTGTTGGAGAAAAGGATTCAAGCATAGCTAAATAATTTATGTTAATTTTTACCAGAATATATCTCCGATGTACTTCACTAGCTAAACGTATCCTCTAAACAGTCTAAACGTTAAAAGATTTTCATTTTAATATATTCTGCTTTTATTATACCATAAAAGTGTCGGAATAGATGTCTTCTAGATCGTAGGTGTTAATACGTCCTGGCGTTTGAATGTTTCTGACAGTAACATTAGTGCAATTAAGTTTATCGATCGTGATAAACTGTCGCGTATTTAACAAAATCAATTGATCCAGTTGTAAGTCATTGACCTGCATGGTTTTTATACTCGTCTGAAAAGTCACATTGTCGAGTGTCATCCGTCCTGAAATAAAAAAACTCTTCGTTACGTGACAAAATTGTCGAGTATGGTCATTATAAAGTTTTTCGATGTGCTATTTGTAGAGTTTTAGGAAACTCGGTTATTATCTATCTGTAAAAATACACACGCTCGCACGCGCAATCAAACAAATATATGTACATTTCTGTAATTACCCGTAAAAACAATTTACCTGAGAAATATTTTGGCATGTTAAGACCGACAACATTCTCCTGCAAGTCTTTTATATCAACTCCCATAATAGTGTTTGATTGCAATCTTGTCTTTACTACAAGATCTTTTTGTAGACGGACGTCTTTTCGGAACGTGACTTTGCTATCGATCGCGAAAGGTTTATCAATGTAAACGACATTTTTGTGAAATCCATGTAAATCTAAATCGTTCAGGCTCCCGTCGATGTTAAATGCGTCATTAAACGTAACTGAATGTTTAAATAATTTCAATCCAAATATTGTGATATCGGTGTCATTCCTAAAGATTACTGTGTCGAGGAAACTGTCCAACGTTGATCCTTCAATTGATCCATTTACATTCAGTTTTGTTATGGATGCAGCTTCAGTGAAGCAAAAATTGCCGCGAAGCACGTAAGAGTTATTTTCAGATAACTCAAAACTATCTGTGAAATCGCTCAAGTATACGGAATTTCCAATCTTGCCAGTTGTATTGAAATTTTTGAAAACCACGACCGAGCCTTAAAAAAAGAAAAGAAAAGGGTTATTTTTTATTACTAAGATTGAGAACGTAAATAAGAAGACGTTAGAAAGAGAAATACACGAGTAAACAATATTACGAATAATTACAATCAATTGGCTTAAAGTAATTTTACAAGTGCAAGTGAATTTTAATCACACACTTAACTACGATTAAGAGCAATAATATAAAGAGCGTAATGTGTGTACGAAGCGCGCATTTAATATACTCGTCTCTCAATTTACGCCAAGTATTAGTTTTGCGTTATTTTTTTACACGATTGAGAATCGCGCAAATGGAGCCAGTAAAAAACAATACGTAGCAAAAAAGGTCATATACTCAGATTTTTATAAATGTGAAAAGTAAACCGCGCAAATCGAGGGATGAGTGTATGCGTATATTTTGTTAATATTAACGTGAAAGGAGAGTAAATGTATTTCTAACAATAAGTAACATTGGTAATAAAAAGATCAGTTGAAAGCGCTGTTATCCTATTATCTATCTGTATAAACAGATCAAAGAATTTAACATGTTTCGTATACAGGATGAGTCTTTCCATATCCGACAAAATTTTTGAGAAGGTAGAACGGATCGAGATGAACGGAAAAGTCCTGTACCATTTTGCAATTTTCGTAATAGTTAACGAGTAATTAATTATTAAAAATCGTTGTCTTAGGCCGGCCTACCGCCCAATTC